ACTTCAGCTCATCATGCCCTGTACTGGAATTCTATCTAGGCTCAAAAGAGACTATCAAAACTATCAAGACAGATGCTTTGATTATATAGCCTAATTTTATCATAACCTACTGGATTTGGATATATTTTGGTATAAGTATACGACCCAACATATGTACCTTTAAAGCATAATTTCTCAAGTTGAGCACACAAACATTCCAAAAGAAACATAATTAGAATTTAGAATAAAGTTTGATTCTTGCTTCAGGAAAGTTTTAAAAGTAATGATCAACTTTGCCATTTTTCCCTAGAAATGGAATATATACTGTATAGCTGATTTTACACAGGCAAAAGTTAGTGGGAAAAAAACAGTAAACAATATCGTTCATGGATGTAAATTTCCTTTAGAATTGTTAAACACATAAAAGGAGCCAATGCCATTTTTAATAGAAATCTGGAATTATTCCAGGTGTTTAGCTACCTTACCAAAGGTACCACACTTTCTAAATTTATATTAGAAATGTTTTATTTAATATGATGTAAAGCAATCATTGCAAAAGAAGGAACCAATACTACATTCTCATCGATATCAAGCATTTTTTAGACTTAGAGTCTAGAAAACCTCAAATAAATGGTATCCACATTGATTTTTGTCTTAGAAATCAAGAAGTCTTGTAGATCTAAAATTTCATCAAGAAAAGAACCAGTAAAAGCAAAGAGGACCCCAATTTCTAGAAGGAATCTATGTTCACTTTAGATAAAAACGTTGGAAAAAACGAAATACTAGAATAATTTAATTTGGGGTTTCCTCTGGATATAGAGTTGCAATGGATTTAAGGTTGCTTAAAGGGATAATCCCCTAATCAGTGTAGACTGCTAGTGTGAAAGTGGCCAATAATAAGGCACAATAATTGACATGAATGCCCTAGGTCAAAGGGTCATGGTGAAAGGATGCAGAGAACTGTAGGAATGTGAGAGCTTCTTTTTCACCTCTTGACGGATTGATGGGGCCCATATTCTTAGGGGTGGGGAGAGACATCCACAGCGTCCCAAATAAGGGGAAGAGGTATTCTTTATCGCGTAGCGCTGTGTTTTTGCTGAACAAAGGCCTTTGTGAAGCCGTTCATCAGCGTCTGAATCAACAAAAATGGAACAAACCCCTTCGCGGTGGTATGTTTTGTTTTTTTTCAGAGTTGAGGATCAAAGATTCATATTTTTCAAAGCAATGGGAGTGGGTTTGTTTACCACCTCAAAGTGATTGCATCTCAGCTGAGCCAAATGTCTTTGCAGTAGGTATCTGTCACTACAATTTGATAGACAAAGGAAGCTTTGTAGATAGCACTACCCTTCAGACAAGCCAACTTAGTCATGCTCCTGAGGTGTCACATACCACCACTATGTTGTCTGGAGCAAAGTAGGCATGCAGAAAGCAGTGAAAGACTTTACTTTAATCTAAAGAAGGATGTTTTCCTTGGCCTATATCAAAGAATATACCTGAACAAAACTTTAATTTATCAAGAACAGACTTCGGGCGATGCCCAGATATTACACTCCTAGCTGTGCTGTATTGTCTTTCTTATGTCCTTTTAAGGACAAAAAGTAACAGAACTTTGTCATTGCAAGTATTCTTAATTACACTGAAATTTGTCCTCTGCTTTTCCTTTGGAAGCAAAATACTGAGCACTTACCATGGTTGAGGATTCTTGGGATATCAATGATGTTGGACGCAAGAAAGCCCTATACCTTTGTTTTGGGCTTTCTAACGTTCAATGTCAAAGGTATGGAAACATTCGACACAGAGTTCAATGAAAATTAGGACCACAAGCCACATCATATACAGTTCTACAGTAATCTTTAGATCCAATGTATTGAATTCGATTGGATACTTTGCTTACCAATAATGAATTAGTGACACTTAATTAGACATTGTTTCGGTCAACCAGTCCACAGCCAAAAAACTTTACCTCAGTTTTCATGTTCAGTTTATGAAGACTTAGAAATGAAGTTTGCATGCAAAAACAAGGGATTTGGCTTTGATTTTTCATCACTCATCTTAATCCACAGCAAACTATGTAAAAGGAGCAAGGGATAAAAAGGATAAGATGGTTTGGTGTTTGTTTGTGTTAGAGGCTGTTGCTTGATTCTTTGCACGATGGTAAATGGACTGTGCTTATAAAGCGCTTTTCAAGTCAGGAGACTTAACCAAAGTGCTTTACACTACATTCAGTCATTCATCCATTCATGCACACACTGATGGTTGGAGGCTACACTGTAGCCACAGCTGCCCTGGGGCTCACTAACAGAAGCAAGGCTGCCATACACTAGCGCCACCGGGTCCTCTGACCAACATCAGTAGACAATGCAGGTGAAGTGTCTTGCCCAAGGACACAACAACACTGAAAGATAAAGCCGGGGCTTGAACAGTCAATCCTTGGATTTCAGGGCAAACTCAGTGTTTATAATTCAGCGTATACACAGTAAATGTTTCAGTGTTAAAGTAACACCCAAGATACATTTGGACCCACTGTGAATAACTGCAACACTAAAACATTGTAACATTTACTGTGTAACTTTTGACCCAACTTACAACGAATGTTTTACTTTATAAGGTGCTGGTGAAGATTCTCAGTCTTCCAGGTCATAGTCATTTCAAAAAAGTTTAAAAAACAATTCACTGGACTTTGTTTCCAAATTGAAGACATTTCACCTCCCATCCAGGAAGCTTTCAACAATTCAAAATGTCATAATTAGCCCCAAACAGGGGACCAAAACATCTCACCTGTTCAGCCAGGCCAACAGTTCCCTCGAACAACCCCCTTTCCGAGACATAGACCAATATCGGGTATTGCAGGCTAACAAAGAATTCAAACGACTCACCATTCCTAAGGGGCGGACCTGTTCTTCCGGTTCAATTTGCATATATTCTAAGCAAAAACAAGTCTTTGTTTCTGGCTATTCTATAAAGCTTCAAACTCAATTCTAACATTTTGAATTGAAAAGCTTCCTGGATGAGAAGCGAAATGTCTTAAAACTTGGAAAGCATCCAGTGGATTGTTCTTTTACTTTTTTGGAATACTTTATAAGGTGAGGTTTATAACAGATCTTAAACACTACTGTTGCCAAAGTAATCCTTAATGAACCCAATGTTGAAATGAGAGAGTATGGACAGGCTAGAAGGATAATGGAATAAAACAATGACAAAAGAATGTCGAAAAGGGATTTGAACAAACAAGAAAACATTTAAGATATCAAAAAAAGATTTTGGCAAGAAAAGAAAATTGTATTTAGCCTACAACTCTATACATTATATCCAATATTGACATAATTGCTAAGCTAATATAGGCATTGTCATTGTAACAGACTAAGTAAACTAAATTGAAAACAAAGAAGGATTGATCAGGTTAAAAATTTACTAAAATCAGATACATTTAACCTAAAAAAAAATGTATTCAAAAACATTATAGACAGTAATAACTACAACACCACTTCTAAAGCCTATTTCTCACAAAAATTAGCAGGTTAACCCATGTTTGAAAAACATGGGTTGAACTGCTGACAATCAACATTTGGCTCCCTTACCATTGGCAAAAAATCTGATTGTTCCGTGTTGAAACTGTTTTTTTTTTTTTGACCGGTGGGAAATGGATTTCAAGGTATAAGGAATGGTGCAGGATTTTCACGAATTATTGAAAAGACCCGCCCTCTTCAAATGCACACCTGTACCTGCTCCAGAGAGGGAATGCATATTTAAAATGTGCGAGAGCATGCACAAGCCTATTTCTCCTAAACAGAAACGAGAAATTAATAACACCCAATTTCTGACCTAATTTTTACCTATATGTGTTTTTCTCTTAAACTTTGCAAACCCAACTTTTCAGAAGTACCAACATTGCCTATGCCTATATAGACATGGTCAAGAAAGGGACACAAGCCAAACAAAATTTTGGAAGATTTCTAGCACAAAACCTGAAGGAATAACACATTTTATCCTGCTTTAGTATAACCCTGTTGTCTGCAGTCAGGGCATGGGTGTACTACATATATAACAATGGCATCCAATTGCCCTACAGGGCAGCATAATTAATTTTGGAGGTGCCAGACGATGGCATTTGCAACCCAGTTGGAGATCATTGGCTACCTTCTGTTGGGAGATTTAAAACTCTCTTTCCTATTATACAAAAAAGGCTCACATTAACTCGTGAAGATAAAAGTGTACAATTCAGAAGTTGATTTAGATATAAATCTATCAGATTTTCCAATGTTAGGGTTAGACAGCCAGTCTAATTACTTGGTATAAGGTCATGGCTTTGAAACCATTTGGTCTACGAGGGAGCTGTAGGTCAGCTCATGCAGAGACATTCTGGTTATTCTAAGTAGCTATTAGGTCATTTTGGCTGTCACAAAGGGGGGTCTAGGAAAGAAGGCCAGCAATGACTTAAGGGTCATTCCTTTACACATTGCTTCCTTTTTTCGAGGGGCCGTCCTGGCCTGGTAAATGGGATGGTCAGTGGTCATCCCCCCGAGACACCTACCCTGAGACCTATATCCCCTTCTGTCCAGCCCCTCTCTGTTCACTCAGGGGGAAAATTACTTTGAGCTGGGGGGATACAGCTCCATTGAGATGGAGAGAGGTTTGCACAAAAGAGGGTGAAGTTTAAAAAATTGTCTCTTTCTTCTATGCTTCATTGGAAGTACTGGGATGGTAGGAGCTCAGAGGGTACAAGGTCATTAGATTGGCATCTCCATAAGCTCTTCATTCCCATTGTCTGGATAAATCTGCTCGAAAATGACCTCCATGAGAAATGTCCCCAGTCAACCGCTTAGTGGGTCCTAGAATTTCCCCTTTTGTCTACCACTTTCAGTGGGCTTCCAACACAAAGCACATTTCTCAAGCAGAGCTACAAAGCTTGTCTGGTTCTGAGAACCAAGTGACATTGTTCCTCTGTATCATGGTTTGGAATGAATTGCAAGCAGCTGTAGACATCCTCAGGCCATAAAACATCTGCCCCAAAACAAGCTTACCTTCGGACATTTCTGCGCTCCTCCTCAAGCTGTTTTAAGAGCTCATCGATGCATTTGTTGGCGTCCATGTACTCCTGTCAAGAAAAGATGAGAATGGTTTATGTGTTATAGTAACCTTTCATTTAAAATATGCTTCTAATAGAAGACAGAAACGTGTTCTGGAAAAGTGGTCACAATCACTTCAGTGTTTGTTTCTTTGAGAGAGTAAAAACAGAAGCACCTTTTTGTAATGTCCAACGGCAGCCCCAAAAGCGAGGCCCAGCTGTGTAATGTCATTTGGGAACAGACTGCACTCACAAAACGTGCGCTACCGAGTTACAGGAATGAGCTAATGCCAAGAGCAAAATAGGGAAAACAGATGTTAGGATTTCTCAGCTTTGGCCTAATGATTTGCCTTTTAGTGGTAGGGCTTTATAAAACAGAAGGTGGGGCTGTTAATGTAAGAAAAAGCCCACCATATTTCAAAAATGTGAGTTTTCATACACTCACTCAGTTGTGACTTGAGGCTGTCTCGGCAGTCCAGTCTAGGTTTAGGACTAATTAATTAGATGTTTGCTTGACGGGTCCCATGGGCAAGCGGTTATCTCAGTGGGACAGATGCTCTACATTGATTTTTAGTCACGAGAAAGATGGCATACCCATAAAGAATCACAGTCTAGTAGATAATTTTTTTGAACATAAAAGCTTTATTTCTACATTTCCTAAAGTTCGTGCACCTGAGCTATTTTGTTTTACTCTCTCTAATTAGTCCTTGGCAGAAAAAAGTCAGTCATTCTTTGTGAACAGAAGCAGCAGGAAAAAGGAAAAACCAAACATTGAGTTTTCTTGGTTTGATACGACATAAGCACTAGGGTACATAGAGTTTTAGTGTTTATGGAAATCCGATGAGTGTTGTGCCACGAAATGTCACAACACTCCTTTCATGGGAACCACAATGACTGCATAAAGAAACATTAAAGCAGGCATCTGACAAGTCTTTATTCTCACCTTGGTGTGGTATAAATATGTTTTACATATCTGTTTTCTCCAGTTTTATTTTGAAACGGATTGTTCTTTTGAAAAGCTTTTCAGTAGTTTAATACATTTTGTTTGAATAAATGTATACTGAGCTTAAACTCTCCAGCCGATCTATTAAATATTATTATGTCTCATTGGATAGTTGAAAGAAAGAAAAATAAATAAATTCTTAAAACAGACTGAATGAAAAAAGTGAAGATATATTTGAGTTTAGCAGAATAGTTAATAATTTCAAACATTTAAGGCAGTGATTGATATAGTTATTGGGAACTGCCTTGGTCTGTTTTCCTCCAGACAATACATTTTTTATTAAAAAATAGGGTGTTTATTCAGTCAGAGAAGGTACCACCAAAAAGGGAAAAAAAGTTTTATAAAATTAATACCTACTCAAACTTGCTTGACTTAGCTTGCAAAGCTTTTACCAGTTAGTTGTACAAGTAGCTGATCTGTAGCTCTAAAGCTTAGTTTACTACTTACTTTAAACATGTTATTACCTTAAAAAACATTGACAAACACCTCATTTAGTAAAAGTTGTGTACAAAGGTACAATAAACTACAAAAGATACAATACAAAAAGGTCTCATAAACCAGTCATATAGTCCATATTGACAATAACTTCAACCCTCAGTTAATATGCTCACAGTAGCATGCTAACATGCTATTACCCTAAAAAAGAACAACACTTTTAAATCAAAATAGTTTTTTTCATTTGCTAACACAATTATACGGAAGCCCAGAGTGGTCGTAGTTGACTTTGTTCTTTTCCTTTGCCTTCTCGAGTCGTTATCATGGTTAATCCATTAATTAATTTCTCGAGATAACAAGATAATTATCTTGTTATCACAAGAAAACAGTTATTGCTAACGAGAGGATTAACCGGTATGCGTAAGGAATGAGGCTGGCCAACAGCGCTGGATTCCCAGTCCCCCCATGCCTGCGATACCGCGTGTGCGCAAATAATCAGTTTTTTTGTTTTCTTTTTCTTTTCAATGTCAGGTCGTGTTGGATAATTGGATTGCATAGAATACAGTACAGACAAATCTGAATGTTTTTAATGAAACTCTTTAATCTGGACTCATTATACCTTTTAGAGGTGTAACACCGAGGCTGTTTGGAAAACACCTGACGCTAGGGCGCCGGTGGCATAGGTCTTATTGCTTATGAATCAGAAGTGGAAGCAAATCATCAAACCAACAACGTTGGTCCGTAGCCTAAAAGTTAAACACAGGATTATTTACAGAATTACACAAAGGCTGGCATTTTAAATCCTCTCCCGCTGTTGTGGTGTTGAAGGATGTAATCAGATTCAACACACAAGTCATCTTGTTATCACGAGAAACCGGTTTTGTTATCTTTAGATAATGAGAAATTAACTTGTTTTCTCGAGAAAACCAAATTAAAAAAGTTTCAGAGAGATACAGCCACTCTCGGCTTCTGTACAATTGGCATGACATTAGTATATAAAATCAAAGGTGGGGAATGAGTAACAGGTTCTGAATCTTTTAAGTGGATGTGTAACAATAAGAGGTGTCATAGCTCCGTGTTATGGACCCCAATAAACCAAAGAAGATTTTCTAGAAAGACGCCTATCTATCTGGAACACCTATCCACATCTTAGTCCTTCATACTTCGTCAAAATCCTTAATGATTTTGTTTAAACTAAATCCCTACTCTAATCATAGTTCAGGAGGACAAATAGACAACCAGTCTACTCTACTGACTCTATTTTATCCATTTGGTAACTTAACTGTTTTATGAAAGTACACCAGTTCATTAAATTTAAAAGTAAGCTTCAATAAATTTAAAATATAAACTTCCATACATAAAAACACATGTGCTTGGCCACACATAATCAGTTCACAGACAGTATTTGTAATTGCTCAAGCTTTCCGACTAAGCATGCCAGCTATTAAAAAGCATATCGTCTTGGAAACCCCCCCGGCATTTTCTTCCATTATCACTGCCTTGGCATATATTTCGTCCAGTTCAATCTGAGGACCATTCAGTTGCATGGAAACAAAATTTTGCCCACCCATGCTCCATGACCAAATCATTACTTAAACAGTCGGAGTGTTAGGATTTTGCAAAGCTCCAAGAATATACCTCACGTTTTCACATAAAAATCCATGTGGGAGGTAAGGCTGATGTGCAGAAGCCTAATAATTTGCCTGGAGCCCTGTTTGGACTTATCCTGACCTCCAGATGACCCACCTCTGAGGTCTGACTATACTTAAAGTACTGCTGTTATCACTCCATGGGCTTTTTTAACCTGTGGCCTTGACAGCAAACTCTTAACAGACCAGATGTTCAAGCTGCTGTTCTAAATACAGTAAACCCCAGTTGTTTTGTCTAGTGAGCCTTCAGAGACGGCCACTCCAAAAACAGTCATAACCAACAGCTTCTACCAGTGCCATGATAGCATGCCAAACAACCAGATCTCCTACTGAGTAAATGGCGAGTGAAGCTTTTAACCAAACAGCAACAGATCGATGCCTCACAGTGTGACATGCAATTTTCCAATATATGCACAATATCTTTTAAAAAATGCCTACTAAATGCCATTAACTACAATCCATCATGTCTTTCCAAGATAATATGATGAATTAGTATGAGAAATAATTGATGTTAGTTAACAATATTGTCCCGAAGCCATCTGATGCTTTTTGTGTCAAAAAGCTAAGTACTTCAATACTAGGCGAATAACAACTACTGTAAGTTTCGAAGGGTATGTGAAGAGGCACAGTTGATGGAGGATAAAAAGTATTTAAAATTTGATATTTTGAGTAAAACTCAAACAAAGATAAATGTCAAAACAAAAGTAAAACCTCATTAATTAAAAGCAGGAATAACATATGTGTACACAGTAATATTCAAAGGTATTACTTGTTGAGGTTGGTGATATTTGCCAAACAAGAAAGTATTCTGTTAAGTCAAGAAAAATCCTATATAAGTTCAAGCACAGCATCAGAGAGTGCCCCCCTGAAAGTTTTAGAAGTGTACTCTAAAAAGTGTATCTAAATTTTAAGGAAAATGCTGCCAATGTACATTTTCTCTGTAAATGTACCATGCAGAATCTTGAAAATTGTATAAAAATTCCACAAAAATACCCAATACGATGTGGAAAAATACAGTAGAGGTTACAGACAAATAATCTGTAATTTTTGGGTAAAATCCTTTGTTACTTTTAGAACAATTTCTGAATGTCCATTGGGTCCAGGAATGTTACCTATAAGTTCAGTATAATTTCCAGGAAAGTATTCCCTATGTCCCTACACCATGCGAGAGTCCAAAACAGTTCTGAAAAGTCCTAGATATGGTTGTGGAAGCTACTCCATAGGTTCCATGAAAGCATCTAGGTAAATACCCTTTAAGTCCTATGACCAAAGTATGTAGTTTTCAAACAAGTGGTGCATATTCCCCTCTAGGGTAATTGGAATTACAGTGTGAAAAAGCGGTGCCATTAAAGTTTTGGGAAAGCCTTGTAAGTTTTAGCAAAATATTAAAAGGGGCTGAGTTCCTTGGAGGTACCTAGTTAGTACCTGTAAAGTCGGTACATTTAAAATAGGCTTCAGAAAGTATCCTACATTTTCTGTAAAAGTATCACATGAGTTACAGGAGGGTATCGGATTCAAGTAAAATGCTATAAAGGTTAAATAAAAGTACTGGAAATGTAGGAACTTAAGATTTAATTAAAATGCAGGCTGTTTTAGGGATAACTGTCTCTGTCTTAAGACACTTTCTAGACAGCAATTTCTAAAACATATTTTCTGGAAATGTTATGTTGAAAAAATACTTTAAAAATATGCCACTAAGGCATGTCATTTTGGGGAGGACCCAGAGTAGAGCCTCTGCCCCTCCACATTGAGATGAGCCAGTTGAGGTGGCTCGGGCATCTGATTAGGATGCCTCCATGACGTCTCCCTGGTGAGGTGTTCCATGTAGGTCCCACCTGGAGGGATTGTGCTTCTCGGCTGGCCTGGGAGCGCCTTGGGATTCCCCCGGAGGAACTGGCCAAAGTGGGGGGGGAGGGAAGTCTGGGCCTCCCTACTGAAGCTGC